TGATATAGGACACTAGAATTTACTCCTCCTGTCGAGCTGTAGCTGCCACCTTTGAGACTATGAGGTGATTAAATTTAAGGAGAAAATCCAACATAGTGAGGATGGTGGGTGAAAGAAGGGAAGAAGAATGACTTTTTATTTCATTTATTTATTTTTTTCAGACAGTCTGGCTCTGTCACCCAGGCTGGAGTACAGTGGCATGATCTTGGCTCACTGCAACCTCTGTTTCTGGGTTCAAGTGATTCTCCTGCCTTAGCTTCCCGAGCAGCTGGGATTACAGGCACCCGCCAGCACGCTTGGCTAATTTGTGTATTTTTAGTGGAGACAAGGTTTCACCATGCTGGCAAGGCTGGTCTCAAACCCTTGCCTCAATAATCCACTTGCCTCAGGCTCCTAAAGTGCTGGGATTACAGTCAAGCCACTGTCCCCTGCCTGAGAAGGGCTTTTTAAAAAATGGCTACCATCTACCTACATATTTTTTGCTTTGTGAGAAAACTAAAGTCCTATTTACTTAAGCCACTCTTAGGTTATTGGTGACCTACAGATGACAACATTCCTAATTAATCTACTTTCCAGGAATGTCTTTCAATATTTTCCCTTTCTTCTTGCCTTTTGCTTGGGACTCAATCTATTTCCAGGGAAGAGAGTTCTTCCTTAACTTCCCAGTAGAACATATGACCCACTTTAGGCCAATCAGCATTCCCCATCTACCTGGCTATAGTCATTGGCTCAGAGGTGATCATGTGATATGGACTGGGCCAATCAGAGTGAATCTCAGGATGGAGGCAGTCTATATCCATCTCTGGTTGTGAACAAGGGGCATAAAATTTCAGGAGCTGCTCCTGGCAGCCGTCTTCTGAGTGGACACATCAAACCTCTATTAAAAGCCCACCCTACTTTTCATTTATTATATTTTTCATGGGAGCTGATAATTTTCCTTAATGTTTAATTCAGTTTAGGATTTTATTCACAACCAGAAGCATTCTCAGTGATGCTGTGGAAACTAATTTTGAACTTAATGAACTAGCTTAAAGTAATTTTTAATTGACATAAGCCTCAGTTTTCTCATGCATAAAATGCATTAGAGGCGAGAGGTCCCTGCTTGCCTCCTAGTGTTGTCCTGGAGATTAAGTGAAATGAAGTGTTTTTGAATATTTGGAAAACTATGAAGTCAACAGAAGGTACTTGTGAAAGTTAATGTAAGGAATAGAGAAGTTCTTCCAAGTTTTCACCTTAGGCCTTAAAGAATCACAAATGCAGGCCGGGCGCGGTGGCTCAAGCCTGTAATCCCAGCACTTTGGGAGGCCGAGGCGGGTGGATCACGAGGTCAACAGATCGAGACCATCCTGGTCAACATGGTGAAACCCCGTCTCTACTAAAAATTACAAAAAATTAGCTGGGCACGGTGGTGCGTGCCTGTAATCCCAGCTACTCAGGAGGCTGAGGCAGGAGAATTGCCTGAACCCAGGAGGCGGAGGTTGCGGGGAGCCGAGATTGCGCCATTGCACTCCAGCCTGGGTAACAAGAGCGAAACTCCGTCTCAAAAAAAAAAAAAAAAAAAAAAAAAAAAAGAATCACAAATGCTTACCCTGAAGTCCCTATCCATTATTGGCCCCTATATTCTAGCCCAGCTGGCTGCTTTGACTTGTTCAGGCACGCCCCAGACAGGCCTAGGCAAGTCCCAGCCCATGGTTGAGGCCATTCCTTGTTTGGAGCTGCTTCCTTGACCATCTTGTGAGCAACTTCCTCTTTTCTTTTTTTTTTTTTTTTTTTTTTACTTTTTTTTGAGATGGTGTTTTGATCTTGTTGCCCAGGCTGGAGTGCAATGGTGTGCTCTCAGCTCACTGCAACCTCTGCCTCCTGGGTTCAAGTGATTCTCCTGCCTCAGCCTCCCAAATAGCTGGGATTACAGGTATCTGCCACCACGCTCGGCTAATTTTGTATTTTTAGTAGAGATGGGGTTTCTCCAGGTTGGTCAGGCTGGTCTTGAACTCCTGACCTCAGGTGATCTGCCCACCTTGACCTCCCAAAGTCCTGGTATTACAGGCGTGAGCCACCATGCCCAGCCTGACTTCCTCTTTTTTTGTTCTCTCACCCTTTGCCTATTTAGGAAAGTTTTAAATTATTAGCCAATTGGGTAAAGCATAGAATGTGAGGTTCTGTTCTGGACAGTGGAGGATGGACACAGCAGTAGGGTGGACTTGCCAGGTTATAAATAATCCTGTCTCCTTTGTACTGTGCACTCTCCTAGCAAGACTGCTGGCAAGCAGTGCCCTTTCTGCAAAAAGTAAAAGGAAGCCTTGCTGAGAAACCTTTTGTCTGAATGCTGATTCTTCCCTGTGACATTGGAAGATAAGCACTTATTTCCAACAGTTAATATAAGCCAAAAGGCTGTCAGACAAGGGTCAGGAATGGGTATAGTAAGGCAGGGAAAAAAGGAACACAGCACCCTGTTTTCCCATAGAGAGAAACAGCAGCATGAGCACGCATATTGGAGTATGCTTGCCTGACTCACAAATCCAAAAATAAGTCATAAGACGCTATATGGAGAGAGTAACTATAAATACAGCAATATTAGCTGTGAGTGACAAGCCCAATTAGAGGACATAGAGATGACTTAGAAGGTCTCCATATGCAATGCAACTTGAAGAGCTGTAAAAATACTTAGTGTTTACAGCTTAAGAAAGAGATGAAAATTAAGAGGAAATAGTTTATGATCTGATTATCTGCACTGCAGGAGGAATGGTCAGAGCCTGGTCTTCCCCACCTCATCCTTGGTCAGCACACTGTGGCCTAACTTCCAGTGGCCAGTACCTGCATTCATTTGTTTGAGGACTGTCTCTGGTCTTTGGAGTGCACGTTATGATCTACACAGTTGGGCCAGAAACGCTAGGGATTTAATGTCCTCCACGAGTGGCTGTCAATCAGTGACTGGAAGGAGGATAAATATTGCAGCTCCCTCACTCCTCAGCTGGGCGATTCTGACATAGGTATTCTATATTGCCTCCTACATCCCCAGAAAACTGAGCTTCAGTTGCTCATGGTCGTAACTTGCTTAACGCTTGTTGTTTTCCTTCCCTGTGTCACTTTCTCTTCCCACACTGGGTCTCCTGGAACCGACGCTAAACAACTTTCACTTGAATCATGTCTCAAGGTCAGCTTCTGAGGGAGCCCATACTATGGCAGACTTTGCTTCCTTCACATATATATGTTTTCCAAGAAGAATGAGTCTTTACAATTTTATACAGCATTTCACTTTTCAAGGAACCTTCACATACAATGGAATATTATTCCGCAATTAAAAAGAATAAAATACTGATAGGTGGCAATCAAGTGCATTGTTCTGAGCGAAAGGAGCCAGACTCAAGTGGCTACGTCGTGTACACGTTCATTTACGTGACCTCCTAGGGAAGGCACGACTATAGGGACAGAAAGTAGATGATTGCTGTGGCCAAGTCTTCAGGAAGGGATTAATACAAAGGATCAGAAGAGAACTGTGTGTCTGTGATGGAGCTGTACTATATCTTGATTTTTGTAGAGGCTACGCGACTGTGTATGTTTGTCCAAACCTATGGGACTGTATACTAACAAAGGGTGGATTTCACTGTCTATAAAGTATATCTCAATAAAAAATTCTTTAAAGCACATCCACCACCATTATCTTTGGTTGTCATGACAACCCTGCAGCAATCAGGCATCATTCTTCATTTATTCAGCCACCTGGAATTCCCCTTCCTTCTCTCCATTTGCTCCAAACCCATGGTTGTTTGCCTTTCAGCCTGCCACTCCTAGCGAATGGTTCTTGCCAGAGCCACTAATGACCTGTTATTTGCTCAAGCCAATGGCCACCTTTCAGCCCTTACTTCCTTGACCTTTATACACAACTTGGTGGTGTTGATGCTTCTGCCTTAGAGCTGCTTTGGCCCAGGCCGGTGCAGCCTACTCTGTCCAGTCCACCTTCAGCTGTCCTCAGTTGCTCCTCTACCCTGTGTCCCTCCCAATTTATCCACCTTTTCCTCCACTCATATTTCCCCCCACACTCCCTGGGGGATCTCAACCATCCTTTTGACATCAACGATCACTTATATATTAAGTCTGTTTTGTATTACTATGACAGGATATCACAAAGTGGGTAGTTCATAAAGAAAATAAATGTGGTCAGGCGCAGCAGCTCATTCCTGTCATCCCAGCACTTTGGGAGGCTGAGGCAGGTGAATCGCTTGAGGCCAGGGGTTCAAGACCAGCCTGGCCAACATGGCAAAAACCCGTCTCTACTGAAAATATAAAAGATAAAAAATAAATAGCTGGACATGTTGGCACATGCTTGTAATCCTAGTGGCTTGGGAGGCTGAGATGTGAGAATCACTTGAACTCAGGAGGTGAAGGCTAAAGTGAGCTTAGATCGTGCCATTGTACTCTGGCCTGGGCAACACAGCAAGACTCTCAAAAAAAAAAAAAAAAAAAGGAAAGTATTTCTTACAGTTCTAGAGGCTAGGAAGGCCAAGATTGAAGAATCGACATCTGGTGAGGGCCTTCTTGCTGTGTCATAACATAGCAGAGGCATCCTGCAGTGAGGGGCAGGAGCATGCATATAAGCTCAGGTCTCTCTTTCTTTTCTTGTAAAGCCCATCATGGGGGCTCCACCCTGACGATCTCATCTGATCCTAAATACCTCCCCAAAGCCCTGTTTTGAATTAACATATAACTTTGGGGGTTTAGTTTCAAATATATAAAATGTGGGAACACATTCAAGCCGTAACATATACTCATAACTTCCGAGAGTGTTTTACGTTTTATGCCCTCATTATCTAGTTACTTGGGTTTCCAGTTTATTTTGTTTTTTAGAGGCAGAGTGTGACTGTGTCACCCAGGCTAGAGTGAAGAGGCACGATCATCACTCACTGCAGCCTTGAATTACTGGGCTCAAGAGATCCTCTCAAGCAGCTGGGACTACAGGTGTAGACCACCATGGCTGACTAATTTTTCATTTATGTTTGTAGAGACGGGGTCTTGCTATGTTGCTCACGCTGGTCTTGAACTCCTGGCCTCAAGAGATCCTTTGCCTCGGCCTCCCAAAACACCAGGATTACAGGTGTGAGCCACCACACGTGGCTTTGGATTTCCAGTTTATTACTCAACAGTTGATTTTTCAGCCTCCCAAAATGCCGTGAAGTCAGACAAACTTTTTCTAAAGTTTCTGGGACAAAACTGATAGCTCAGGGCTACTATTACAAGATGCAGTAGAATGGTGTAGATATTTCATCTTGTCATGTCCGCTGGGCCTTGTTCCATGGTTTCAAACTCTTATGGAACCATAAATAATGTTCAAGAATAATTAAAGAAAGAAGAAAACTCATGGCTTTCGTATGTATGTAAAGTGAACACGTGTTAAAGATTTTATCTTCCTCATGAATGAGGGAACCGATGTTACCACTCATTCAAGGGAGCATTCAAATAAAATACAGTTATGGATCAGAAACACGGAAATGATTGCGCAAACTGAGCTCTTCCATAGTGGTGGAGAGAAGTAGGTCGAACTTCTGGTGGACATCACAGCTTTTTCATGTCTACAAAAAAGGATTAGGTTGCATTGCTCTCAGTTATCCAGAACTTGCAGAATTGTAAAATGGGTCAAAGGCAAGGAAAGACTCAAATCGGGTAACTTGGAAGAGCGTTCTTTACCCTATGGGTTCCCGAGCTTTTTCTGTACAGGGCCAGGTAGTAAATACCTTAGGCTTTGCTAGACATGTGGTCTACGTGGCCGCCCTGCCATTGCAGTGGGAACACAGCTGCAGAAAGTATAAACAAGGCTGGGTGCGGTGGCTCACGCCTGTAATCCCGGTGCTTTGGGAGGCTAAGGCAGGAGGATCGCAGGCCAGGGGTTTGAGACCAGCCTGGCCAACGTGGTGAAACCCTGTCTTGACTAAAAATACAAAAATTATCCAGGTGTGGTGGTGTGCACCTGTAATCCCAACTACTTGGGAGGCTGAGGCAGGAGAATCACTTGAACCTGGGAGGCGAAGGTTGCAGTGAGCCGAGATTGCGCCACTGCACTCCAGCTTGGATGACAGAGCAAGACTTGTTCTCAAAAAAAAAAAAAAAAAGGCTGGGCATGGTGGCTCACACCTGTAATCCTAGCACTTTGGGAGGCTGAGGTGGCTGGATCACCTGAGGTCAGGAGTTCAAGACCTGCCTGGCCATCATGGTGAAACCCCATCTTTTAAAAAAAAAAAGAAAAGAAAATATAAACAAATAGGAGTGGCTGGATTTGGTCTCTGGGCTGTTTGCCAGTTCTTCCCCTAGATGGTGTCTGACTTTCCACGGAAGCAAACTCTTTTCCTCTGTTCAGGTGTGATGGCTTGTGCCTCTAATCCTAGCACTTTGGGAGGCCAAGGCAGGAGGATCATTTGGGCCCAGGAGTATAAGACCTGCCTGAGTTACATAGTAAGACCCCATCTCTACAAAAAGTCCTGGTCAACATGGTGAAACCCTGTCTCTACTAAAAATACAAAAAATTAGCTGGGCATGGTGGCGCGTGCCTGTAATCCCAGCTACTCAGGAGGCTGAGGCAGGAGAATTGCCTGAACCCAGGAGGCGGAGGTTGCAGTGAGCTGAGATCGCGCCATTGCACTCCAGCCTGGGTAACAAGAATGAAACTCTGTCTCAAAAAAAAAAAAAAAAAAAAAAAAAAATTAGCCAGGCATGGTGGCACACTCTGTTAGTCCCAGCTACTAGGGAGGCTGAGATAGGAGGATTGCATGAGCTTGGGAGGTCAAGGCTGCAAGGAACTGTGATTGTGCCACTGAACTCCAGACTTGGTGACAGAGGGAGACCCTGTCTCAAAAAAAAAAGTATAACAAAAATTTTCCCTTGCAATAAGACAGTGCCACAGTGCCAAGAAGTTTTAAAAAATATACTAAGAAGATGACTGGCATTAAAACATGACTTTGAAATTCATGAATTATGCAGCAATAAGCTCGATTCATTCATGGTGAATTACACCTTTCTTCTAATGTACTGGATTTAGGAGGAGTTTGTTGGAAATCTCACGGAAAGGTAAAGCTCTGGTCAGCTTTACTTTTTTTTCTCTTTTATTTATTTATTTTTTTGAGACGGAGTTTCGCTCTTGTTACCCAGGCTGGAGTGCAATGGCGTGATCTCGGCTCATCGCAACCTCCGCCTCCTGGGTTCAGGCAATTCTCCTGCTTCAGCCTCCTGAGTAGCTGGGATTACAGGCACGCACCACCATGCCCAGCTAATTTTTTGTATTTTTAGTAGAGACGGGATTCCACCATGTTGACCAGGATGGTCTCGATCTCTTGACCTTGTGATCCACCCGCCTCGGCCTCCCAAAGTGCTGGGATTACAGACATGAGCCACTGCGCCCGGCCCCTTCTGCTTTTCTCTCGGCCCCTTCTGCTTTTCTCTCTCCTTGCTGCAGGATGCTCTAATCACGAGCCCAGGATGAATTTTGTGCACTGTGGGGTGTTTGCTCTATTTATTTGGCAACTTTGTTTCCCTTTAAGGGAGGCTATGATCACCTATCTAACCTATCTCACAGTGACCTTCACCCCTCTTTGGGAAGTATTCTCCAACCAAAGGAAGGGTTCTGGAAGCTATGTTGGTACGATGCTGTCACTCCTCCCATCCTCTCGCCCTCCTCCCAGCAGAATTGATCAGACTGGGGAGGGCATCTCACCCAAACCATCTATTTCAGAGCCTTTCCTTTCTTTTGGAATTGACACTAAAAGGTTCTTTGGTTTATCCCAGATAGGTTTCTTGATTGAAGGCACCACGGGGGGGACTGTCTGTATTTCATTTCCGACAGACTGCTGTTTAAGAAAACAATACACACACGAGTGCTTAGCTGCGCCCGGCACTAGGCACTTACCTCATTTCCTTATGCCAGCTCTATAATTCAGGTCCCATGACTATCCGCATTTTACAGAGAAGAAAACTGAGACTCAGATTAAAGACCTTGTCCAAGGCCAGCTGTGGTGGGAGCTCCTATAGTCCCAGCTACTCGGGAGGCTGAGGTGGGAGGATCCCTTGAGGCAGCTGCATGTAAGCTCTGATGATGCCACCAAACTCCAGCCTCAGCAATAGCTGGAATTTTTTTTTTTTTTTCTTTTTGAGATAGAGTATCATTCTGTCACCCAGCCTGGAGTGCAGTGGCGCGATCTCAGCTCACTGCAACTTCTGACTCCTGGTTTCAAGTGATTCTCCTGCCTCAGTCTCCCGGGTAGTTGGGATTACAGGCACCCTGCCACCACGCTTGTCTAATTTTTTGTATTTTTAGTAGAGACAGGGTTTCGCTATGTTGGCCAGGCTGCTCTTGAACTCCTGACCTTAGGTGATCTACCTGTTTCAGCCTCCCAAACTGCTGGGATTACAGGCGTGAGCCACTGTGCCTGGCCAGAAAATTTTAAACATTACTCAGGCATAGTCTTACATGCCTGTATTCATAGCTACGTGCGTGGCTGACATTGGGGGAATAGTCGAACCCAGGAGTTCGAGGCTGCAGTGAGCTGTGATCATGCCACTGCACTCCAGGCTGGGCAGCAGAGCAAGACCTTGTATCTAAAATTAATCATAATAGCAATAATAAATAAAGACCTTATACAAGAGCACAAAGTCAGAAAGAAGCAGAACCAAGACTTGAACCCAGGTCTGCCTCTCACATGGTTAACCCCAGTGCTAAACATTCTGCCATCACATGGTAGGAGCTCCATGAATATTTGAGGATGAATAAAAGGACGAATGCAGAGTGAGAGGATTAGATAGCGATGCATAGACATGAAGCAGCTACTGCATTCAAATGGTTTTATGATGAGAGGCCGAGGCGGGCGGATCACGAGGTCAAGAGATCGAGACCATCCTGGCCAACAAGGCGAAACCCCGTCTCTACTAAAAATACAAAAATTAGCCGGGCGTGGTGGCAGGCACCTGTTTCACCTTGTTGGCCAAGATGGTCTTGATGCTTGACCTTGTAGTATCGGAGGTATGGCTCAGCCTTTCGGACGTATCATCAGCCTCAGCATGATTCTGCATAGATTGCCTTTAGGTAGTTTCTGCTACATACCTCCAAAAAAATCCAAATAAATATAAGCATGCATGTTGATTTTAAAATAATCTTAGGCGGTGCATAGTGGCTCACACTGGTAATCCTAGCACTTTGGGAGGCCGAGGCGGGTCCCTGGAGCTCAGGAGTTCAAGACCAGCCTAGGCCACAAAGTGAGACCTTGTCTCTAATTAAACAACAAAAAAAAGTAAACTAATTTTATTTAAAATAAAATTAACTGTAAAATAAAATGAGTTATTTTATTGCGAATGTAAAATCATAAAACTAATAGTTTTCATTTTATTTTTCATTACTTTTAATAAAATTAATAATATGAATATTTAATCCCAGCATATTGGGAGGCCAAGGCAGGAGGATTGCTTGAGGCCAAGAACTCAGAACCACTCTGGGCTGCATAGGGAGACCTTCTCTCTACCAAAGATAAAATAAAAAGAATATGAAGATTAGCAATATTGAATATTATTTAACAAGTACATATTAGATTTAATATAATACATTACCGATTAATATATAATCACATATATTAAAGTATTACTATTTAATATTAAAATGATAATATTAAAAGATTCATATAATTTTGGTTTACTGCAATTTTTAAACAATGTGCATACCCACAGCAGAGTAAATTCTTAGGGTTTTTTCTTGTGTGTGTGTGTGTGTGACAGAGTCTTGCTCTGTCACCAGGCGCTAGGCTGGAGTGCAATGGTGTAATCTTGGCTCTCTGCAATCTCCGCCTCTGGGGTTCAAGCGATTCTCCTTCCTCAGCCTCCCGAGTAGCTGGGATTACAGGCAGGAGCTACTGCACCCAGCTAATTTTTGTATTTTTTAGTAGAGGTGGGGTTTGTTGACCAGGATGGTCTTGATCTCTTGACCTTGTGATCAGCCCGCCTCGGCCTCCCAAAGTGCTGGGATTACAGGTGTGAGTCAGCACACCCCGCCATTCTTGGGTTTTTTTGAGGCAGGGTCGTGCCCTGTCACCCAGGCTGGAGTGCAGTGGTGCAATCATAGCCCACTGCAGCCTCAAACTTCCAGGCTCAAATGATCCTCCCACCTATCTCTGCCTCCTAAGTAGCTGTGACTACAGGCATGCGCCACCACGCCTGGCTAATTTTTGAATTTTTTTTTTTTTTGAGATAGAGTCTCAATCTGTCACTCAGTCTGGAGTGCAGTGGCACAATCTCAGCTCACTGCACCCTCTGCCTCTCAGGTTCAAGCTATTCTCCTGCCTTAGTCTCCCGGCTAATTTTTGCATTTTTAGTAGAGGCGGGGTTTCACCATGTTGTTGAGGCTGTTCTTGAACTCCTGACCGCAAGTGATCCACCTGTCTCGACCTCCCAAAGTGCTGAGATTATAGGCGTGAGCGGTCACACCTGGCTGAAATGGGGTTTTATCATCTTGCCCAGGCTGGTCTTCAACTGCTGGGTTCAAGCAATCTGCCCGCCTTGGCCTCCCAAAGTGTTGGGATTACAGGCATACCACTGCACCCGGCCCAACAGTAAATTAATGTCTGTTTCCCATGTCCCAGAGCACACTGGATATGACCTGTATGTGTATGTTTTCAATGTCCAGAAAAGAGACGAGTTCCCCTGTGCTTGCCTTGGACTAGTGGAGTCTTCCTGGTACCCTGACCCTAGGTGCGGTCCTACCAGGATCTCTACTTTTTTTTCTTGACATGGAGTCTCGCTCTGTCACCAGAGCTGGAGTGCAATGGTGCGATCTCAGCTCACTGCGACTTCCACCTGTTTGTGCTGGGAACGTTCACCATCCTCCTCCTAGCTATTGGGAACTGTGTTATTGTTAGGTATGGTCACCCTACAGTGGTATAGGACACTAGCACTTACTCCTCCTGTCCAGCTGTAGCTGCCACCTTTGAGACTATGAGGTGATTAAATTCAAGGAGAAAATCCAACATAGGATGGTGGGTGAAAGAAGGGGAGAAGAATGGCTTTTTATTTCATTTATTTATTTTTTTGAGACAGTCTGGCTCTGTCACCCAGGCTGGGGTGCAGTGGCATGATCTTGGCTCACTGCAACCTCTGCCTGCTGGGATCAAGTGATTCTCCTGCTTCAGCCTCCGGAGTAGCTGGGACTACAGGTGCACACCACCACGCCTGGCTAATTTTTGTATTTTTAGTAGAGACAGGGTTTCAGCTTGTTGGCCAGGATGGTCTTGATCTCTTGACCTCATGATTCACCCGCCTCGGCCTCCCAGAGCGCTGGGATTACAGGTGTGAGGCACTGCGCCCAGCCCAGGATTCCTAGTTTATACAGAGAGCATCAATTCCTACTCATCATCTTGCAAAGACGTGAGGCCTCATCTCACACCTTGAGGTATGCCCAGTATGCCCCCCATCCACCCCCTCACTCCCACACCCTAAAAACATCTGCAGTGCCATCTTGCATGCCCACTTCCTGACTCTCAGCGGTGTCTTCATCTGTGACCCCAGGCATTCCTTTCATCTCCTTAAAGCTTACCCTTGCATGTGTATGCAGAGGACATCATTAGACATTAGGGAAATGCAAATTCAAACCCCAGGCAGATGTCAACACACATCCACTAGAACAGTTAGAATCAAAAAGACGGCGATTTGAGTGCTGGCCAGGATGTGCAGTGACGCACACACTGTTGGTAGGTGACAGTCTGGTAGCTTTTTTTATTTTTTTGAGATGGAGTCTTGCTCAGTTGCCAGGCTGGAGTGCAGTGGCATGATCTCGGCTCATTGCACCCTCTGCCTCCTCGGTTCAATTGGTTCTCCTGCCTCAGCTTCCCGAGTAGCTAGGACTACAGGTGCCCGCCACCATGCCCAGCTAATTTTTGTAATGTTGGTAGAGATGGGGTCTCACTATGTTGGCCAGGATGGCCTTGATTTCTCGACCTCGTGATCTGCCCGCCTCAGCTTCCCAAAGTGCTGGGATTACAGGTGTGAGCCATCACACCTGGCCTGCTTCTTATGGGGCTAAACAGACAATCACCAGGTGACTCAACAGTTCTGCTCTTTGGTATTTACCCAGGATCCCCACAAAAGCTTTTTGTTCGTTCGTTTATTTGTTTTTTGAGACAGAGTCTCACTCTGTCACCCAGGCTGGAGTGCAACGGTACAATCTCGGCTCACTGCAACCTCTGCCTCCCAGGTTCAAGCAATTCTCCCACCTCAGCCTCCCGAGTAGCTGGGACTACAGGCATGCATCAACATGCTGTGCTCAATTTTGTGATTTTTTTTTTTTAAATAAAGAACAGATGGGCAAGGGCCCTAGCTAGTTCTCTCAAGCCCTTATAGAAGACACGAATCCCATTCAGAGGGGCAGAGTCCTCCTGACTTAATGACCTCCTAAAGGCCCCACTTCTTAACACTATCACACTGGGTCTTAGGAGCCAACATTTCAATTTGGGTGCAAACATAGATTCAAATCGTAGTAGTCCCTAGTCCAATATGACTGCTATCCTCATAGAAGGAGGAGAATTTTGAACTTAGGCAGTGGACACACACAGGAAGGAAGGAAGGAAGGAAGGAAGGAAGGAAGGAAGGAAGGAAGGAAGGAAGGAAGGAAGAGACAGAAAGAGAAAGGAAGTAAGGAAAGAGAGAGGAAGGAAGGAAGAAAGAGTGGAAGGAAAGAAGGAAGGAAGGAGAGTGTGTGGGAAGTATAAAAGTTTTTCTTTAAAGTTTTCTTTTTTGTTAAAGAAATAAGTGTGCTAATAACTTTGTTAAACCCTGGTAGCTGTTAAACATGCTATGCTTACAGGCACGTGGTACATTCTATGTTCTTGTACTTTAACCAAAATGTCTCTGCTAAACATGCTCACAGGCATGTCCCAGCTCTCCATTGCTTTTACCTGTTTTAAAAAAAGTTTGAGTTGTTAGCCAGTCGGGTTTTAGTTTAAATTGTAAGGTCTAACTCCAGCCAATGGAAATGAAACAGAGCAGTAAGAACAACCCAAATGTATAAGGAATAAATTTGTGTGTTTTCCTTTGTTCCTTGTGGCGCAATGGCTAATGCAAGTCCCCTCCCTGCGGTCCAGGAAGTAAAAGTTGCATTGCTAAAAAAATCCTTTGTCTCAGTGCTGATTTTTCTTTGCAGCACCAAGCATCTATTTCCAACAGAGAGACAGAGGGGAAGAAAGGAAAGAAGGAAGGAATGAAGGAAGAAAGGAAGGAAGGAAAGAGAGACAGAGTGGAAGGAAGGAAGGAATGAAAAGAGAGAGGAAGGAAGGAAGGAAAGGAAGAGAAACCGTGGCACTAGGAAGTGGTAAAGTTGGGGTGTGAGCACAGAAGGGTTCTATTTCAGAGCCTGTGTGTCTTCTCGCAGTTTAGACAATTGGTCCACGCAGGCGAGGAGAGCGCACACTTTATCTCACATATTATTTCTTGGTTTCCTGATCTAATTGTCCCTCCCTCACTGTTAATGGATAACTGGACTTTGCCCAGGATAGGCAAGCAGCGATTGTCTTGCCTGGGCCAACGGCAGAGGCATTCACAGTGCCGATGGGGGACGGTGCCAGATTTCCCAGTAGCGCTCTGGGTGCGGGGCGTCAGCTGCTGGGCTCAGAGAGACCTCTGCCCCAGTGGAGGGCATTATACATGTGGCCAGCTGCCTGCTCTTCCGGCCAAGAGAAACACGGTCAGAACATAAACAGTATCCTAACAGCACTCCACTCACAGTTGAGCTGGCTCAAAACCAGCTGTCACCAGGAACCTAAGTGCATAAAAAAGCATAGCCCTTGAGGCTGACTGGGGGCTTCCCTGGAGAATCAGTTTTCCTTTTTGTATCTGTTTCCTCTGGTAGCCAGAGAAGAAAACAAAGAAGAATCAGATCAGCCAAGCGGGCTGCTGAGAAGGATGGCCTGAACTGCAGGGATGCAGGAAGCGCTGAAGATGCTTTGTCAGCTAAGAATTGCTTAAAGGAAAATGGGTAAAGTCCATTGTTCCCTCCAGCTCTAGTCTTTGCCGCGTTCTACCCTCCTTTGTTCCCGAGGCTGACCCCAAAAGACAACATCATTGGGCTCTGTTGCCCATTGGCTTTTGGTTGGCTCAGCCAATGGGAGGTGCTCACAGAAGAAAAGTGGGAGAAGGGGTGGGGTGCGATGGCTCATGCCTGTAATCCCAGCACTTTGGGAGGCTGAAGCAGGAGCATTGGTTGAGGCTGGGAGTATGTGACCAGCCTGGGAAGCATAGGAAAACCCCATCTCTACAAAGAAAGAATAAGAAAAGAGGAAGAAAGAAAGAAGAAAGAAAGAGAAAGAAAAAGAAAGGAAGAAAGGAAAAAGAGAGAGAGAGAGAAAGGGCCAGGGACAGTGGCTCATGCCTGTAATCCCAGCAGTTTGGGAGGCTGAGGCAGGCAGATCACCTGAGGTCAGAAGTTCGAGATGAGCCTGGCCAACATGGTGAAAACCCATCTCTACTAAAAATACAAAAATTAGCCGGGTATGATGGTGGGCGCCTGTAATCCCAGCTACTCTGGAGGCTGAGGCAAAAGAATTGCCTGAACTTGGGAGGCGGAGGTTGCAGTGAGCCCAGGTCACGCCACTGCACTCCAGCCTGGGCGACAGAGTGAGAGTCCATCTCAAAAGAACAAAAAAAAAAAAAAAAAAAAGAGAGAGAAAGGAAGGAAGGAAGAAGGAAAGAAAGAAAGAATAGAAAGAAGAAAGAAAGGCAAGAAAAGAATTAGCTGAGTGTGGTGGCACATACTTGTAGTCCCACTTACTTGGGGGCTGAGACGGGAGGATTGCTTGAGCCCGTGAGTTCAAGGCTGCAGGGAGCTATGATCCCATTGCTGCACTCCAGCCCGGGTGACAGAGCAGAGAAAAAAAAAAGTGGGAGAAGGGTGAGGTTGAGGGAATTTGTTTTATTTTATTTCATGTATTTTTTGAGACAAAGTCTCACTCTGTCACCCAGGTTGGAGTGCAGTGGCACGATCTGGGCTCACTGCAACATCCACCTCCTGGGTTCAAGTGATTCTCCTGCCTCAGCCTCCCGAGTAGCTGGGATTACAGGCACACACCACCACACCTGGCTAATTTTTGTATTTTTTAAAAAAAATTTTTGTATTTTTAATAGAGACAGGGTTTCACCATGTTGGTCAGGCTGGTCTTGAACCCCTGACCTCAGGTGATCTGCCCACTTGGCCTCTCAAAGTGCTGGGATTACAGGCATGAGCCACTGTGTCCAGCCTCTTCTTCTGCCTTTTCGTTCTATTCTAGCCCTCAATGGACTGGAAGATGCCCACTGCATTGAGGAGGCTGACTCTTCTTTCCTCAATCTACAGATTCCAATGCAAATCTCTTCTGAAAACACAGACACACCCAGAAATAACCTGTAACTCGCTATCTGGGCATCTCTTAGCCCAGTCAAGTTGACTTCAAATTAATCATGACAGCTACCTTATACCTGACCCCAAAACTCAGTGTGGCTTAAAGCAATAGTCATTTATTCCCATGCCCCTGTGCACCGTCGGGGTTTGGCTGATCTGGCTGGGGCTTGGCTGGGCGATTCTGCTGTATGTGTCCCTCCTTTCCTCCTGGGATGGTTGCTTCCGTGGTGACAGCAGAGGTGCAAGATGGCAGGCAGAGCCACATGTGGATTCTGAATCCTGGGTTGGAACCCACCCCTTGCCATTTCTGCCCACATACCATTGATTGAAGCAAGTCACGTGGCCAAGGCCAAGCAGTGAAGTCCCCACCACCCATGATGAGACCGTCGCCAAGACAGGAACACAGGAAACAGTGACTCACTGGGGCCCATTGTTCAACCTGCTCATGGTCACCAACCCCGGCAGTAAACCTGAGAGTTTAAAAGCTGGTTGACTCAGGATGGTCTCATTTGCGCAAGATGAAAAGCAGGACTTTTCGGCATTTTCAAAGGACTTCCGAGGAGACCAGGATGACTATTTATGTTGATCATCACAAAGTGAGTCACGCAAGTCACGTGATTTAAAAACAGGAAAATTCAACGCTGACTGCCCAGACATGACTCTGTACCACCACAGCCGCTTACGTGACACAGCAGTTTTGAGTTCACAAGGCACTTTAATAAACAATAACATGTCTTATGTTTTACTAGAAACAGTCTTTCTCCTATTATTATCCTAGTTTTGAATAGGTGGCAATGGAGGCTTAAGGGACTTGCCCAAGAGAACACAGCTTGCAAATGTCAGGGCCTGGAATTCACAAAAACACTTTACAGGTAGCAGATGCTAAGTGCTTTGCATGTACTAGAGGTCAGCAAGCTCTGGGCCAGGCACCAAATCCAGCCTATAACCAGTTTTTATAAATAAAGTTTTATTGGCAGAAAGCCATGCTCATTCATTTACATATGGTCAGGGCTGCTGCTACAAGGGTAGAGTCGACTTGTTGCCATAGAGTCCGTGTGACCTGAAAGCCTACAATATTTATTTATTTATTTATTTATCTATTTATTTGAGACAAAGCCTCACTCTTGTCACCCAGCCTGGAGTGCAGTGGCGTGATCTCAGCTCACTACAACCCCTGCCTCCCGGGTTCAAGCAATTCTCCTGCCTCAGCCTCCTGAATAGCTGGGATTACAGGCACGCACCACCATGCCTAACTAATTTTTGTATTTTTAGTAGAGACGGGGTTTGATCATGTTGGTCAGGCTGGTCTCGAACTCTTGACCTCAGGTTATCCTCCCACCTCAGCCTCCCAAACTGTTGTGATTACAGGTGTGAACCAAAGCACCTGGACAAGTCTAGGATATTTATTATCTGACTTTTTACAAAAAAAAAAAAGAATGCTGTCTCTTGGCGTGCATGATCTCATGTTTTAATTGAATACATTTTAAAATCAAGTAAAAATTGTATATATATTTATGGATATTTTGATATAGATACATTGTAGAATGGCTATATCAAGCTATTTAACATACACATTAGCTCATACAATCCATATTGTACTCACATGGTTTAAAATTCCCTGAATATAAAAAGGTAAGCAGAGAAAAGTCCCCTTCACCTCCACAGAGAACCCCTATGACTGGTTTTCATGTGTCTTTCAGAGATGGTTTTTGTGTTAGTCTTTTTTCTGTTGTTTACAACAGAATACCTGAGTCTGGGCTGGGCATGGTGGTTGACGCCTGTAATCCCAGCACTTTGGGAGGCCAAGGCTGGAGGACTGCTTGAGCCTAGGAGTTTGAGACCAGCCTGAGCAACATGGCGAAACCTTATCGCTAGAAAACATTTAAAAAATTAGCTGGGTGGGATGATGCGTGCCTGTAATCCCACCTACTTGGGGAGCTGAAGTGGGAGTATCACTTGAGCCAGAGATGTTGAGGCTGCAGTGAGCTGTGACTGCACCACTGAACTCCAGCCTGGGCAACAGAGCGAGACTCTGTCTCAAAAAAAAAAAAAAAGTATTCCTGAAACTGGGTAATTTATAAAGAAAAGGAATTAATTTCTTCCAGTTATGGAGGCTGAGGAGTTCAAGGTCAAGAGGCCAAATCTGGGACGGGCCTCCATGCTAGCGGGGATTCTGCAGAGTCCCAAGTCAGTGCAGGGGATGCCATGGTGAGGAGCTGAGTGTGCATGCTCAGTCTCCCCTCTTCCTCCCCTCCCCTCCCCTCTCCTTCCCTCCTCCTCCCCTCCCCTCCCTTCCCTCCTCCTCCCCTCCCCTCCCTTCCCTTCTCCTCCCCTCCCCTCCCTTCCCCTCCCCTCCCCTCCCCTCCTTTCCCCTCTCCTTTCCTCCTCCTCTCCTTCCCTCCCCTCCCGTCCTCCTCTCCTTCCCCTCTCTTTTCCTCCTCCCTCCTTCCCTCCCCTCCCCTCCTCCTTCCTTCCTCCTCCCCTCTCCTCTCCTCTTCCCCTCCCTTCCCTCCCCTCTTCCTCCCCTCTCCTCCCCTCCTCCTCCTCCCCTCCTCTTCTCCTCCCCTCCCCTCCTCTTCCTCCTTCCCTCCCCTCCCCTCCCCTCCTGCTCCTCTTGTGAGACAAGTCTTGCTCTGTTGCCCAGGCTGGAGTGCAGTGGCATGATCATAGCTCACTGCAGCCTCAACTTCCCAGGCTCAGGTGATTCTCCCACCTCAACCTCTCAAGTAGCTGGGACCTCAGGTGTGCATCACTACACCCAGTTAATTTTTGCATTTTTTGTAGAGACAAGGTTTTGCCATGTTGCCAAGGCTGGTCTCTAACTCTTGGACTCAAGTGATTCTCTTGCCTCAGCCTCCCAAAGAGCTGGGATTACAGCTGTGAGCCACCCTCACGCCTGGCCAATTAGCAATTTTCTGCTGTTCAGGTGTATCTTTTCTCTTTTTTGGTGATTTTTTTTTTTTAAAATACAGGTGAAATTCACATAACATAAACTTAACTATTTTATAATACAATTCCAGCCAGGTGTGGTGGCTCATGCCTATAATCCCAGCACTATAGGAGGCCAAGGTGGGCAGATCACTTGAGGTTAGGAGTTCGAGGCCAGCCTGGCCAACATGGTGCAAACTAGTCTCTAATAAAAATACAAAAATTAGCTGGGTGTGATGGTGGTCTTCTGTAATCCCAGCTACTCGGGAGGCTGAGGCAGGAGAATCGCTTGAACCCAGGAGGTGGAGGCGGAGGTTGCAGTGAGCCGAGATTGCCCCACTGCACTCCAGCCTGGGTGATGACAGAGCAAGACTGTCTCAGATAAATAAAATAAAATGCTATTTCATAATACATTCACAATGTTCTGCAACCATCACCTCTATCTAGTTCTAGAAAAAAATTTTTTTTGAGATGGAGTTTTACTCTTGTTGCCCAGGCTGGAGTGCAGTGGCACAATCTCAGCTCACCATAACCTCCGCTTCCCGGGTTCAAGTGATTCTCCTGCCTCAGCCTCCTGAGTAGCTGGGATTACAGGCATGTGCCACCACCACACCTGGCTAATTTTGTAATTTTTTGGTAGAGACAGGGTTTCACCACCATGTTGGTCAGGCTGGTCTCGAACTCCTGACCTCGTGATTCACCCTCCTTGGCCTCCCAAAGTGCTTGAATTACAAACATGAGCCACTGTGCCCGGCAAGTTCCAGAACATTTCCATGACTGAGAAAGGAAACCCCATCCCTGTCAGCAGTCCCTCTCCCCTGTCTCCGATAATCACTAACCTATTTTCCATCGCTATGGATCTGCCTATTCTGGACATTTTGTATGAATGGAATCACACAACCATGTGGTCTTTCATGTCTGGATTCTTTCATTCAACATCATGTTTTTGAGGTTCATCCACTTTGCAGTGTGGATCAGTGCCTCATTCCTTTTCATGGCTGAATAATATTCCATTGCATAGCTATACCATATTTTATTTATCCCATGCTGTTTCCTGGAGTTTCTAAAAAAAGCAAATCCAGATATTATATCACCTTATCCATAAATACTTCCATATGCATCTGTAACAGATAAATACTTTTTTTGTTGTTTGAAACGGAGTCTTGCTCTGTTGCCCAGGCTCAAGTACGGTGGTGCTATCTTGGCTCACTGCAACCTCTACTTCCTGGGTTGAAGCAATTCTCCTGTCTCGGCCTCCCAAGTAGCTGGGATTACAGGTGCTCGCTATCACACCGGGCTAATTTTTGTATTTTTAGTAAAGACGGGGTTTTGCCATGTTGGCCAGGTTGTTCTTGAACTCCTGACCTTGTGATCCACCCACCTCAGCCTCCCAAAGTGGTGGGATTACAGGCCCGAGCCACCGTACCCGGCTTACAGATAAACACTTTTAAAGAACAATATAACCAAATACCACCAAGAGTTCTTACAAAACTCACTTGAATTCCTTAAAACCCCCTAGCATCCGGTCAAGTCTGATTTTCCCCACCTGTCTAAATGCTGCTTTTTTCTTAACAAGGTAGATCCTCCCATTGTGGCTCAGCCTCGGGGTGGGGGGGTGGGAATTTGAGACTCTCAGTGCCCTTGAGGCTTCATATAGGAAAAACACAACCCCCGTCTTTAACAGGGGGCGCCTTTGAAAAGATTGCAAACAAACTTACCAACTCGCAATCGATGGCTGTTTGGCATGAAAGGACTCAACTTTCCCTTTCCCCGCCTTGCTTTTCTAACAATACAACCCCTCTGCCTGAGGGAGATCAGCGTCCGGGGAAGTTGTTTCCAGAATGAACACAGCAGACTCAGAGGAGGTTCGCAGCTGTCCTCTAATTATCATTTTTCTAAGAGCATAAATAATTTAGGTTGCAATGGGGCGGGGTGGAGATGGTTAAATTATACCACGATTCCATATCCCTGCTGCCTGTTCTACACGCCCCCTCCCCGGACCCCCGACAGGAACCAGTGGAGGAGAGAGAATTCTCTTCTTACCACCGTTCCTCTGCTCTTTAAGGGAAGCCCAAATGGTGGGGAGAGGTCTTTCTGAGACAACACCTCTGCCCTGTGCTGGGAGGTCACGGTGCCGCGTTAAGGGGTGCAGAGAAAAGAGCAAGAAATCGTGAATTACTTTCCCCCTGAGGAGCCGTGGGCTGACTTGCTCTCAGCTTCTGCCGGGATTGATCTCCTCAGGCTGGGTCCCCATGTAGCAGTTTGCTGAAGATGGTCAGGAGCTAATGACCGGTCCTCCTTTCCCTCCTCCCAGCATCAGGGAAACCTCCTCCTCCTCTTTCTTTTTTTTTTCCTCCTTGGCAACTGGTACAGCATCCCCGTTCACTGTCTGCTTTTGTGGGGAGCCCTCTGCTCAGAAAACTGCTCCTCTTGGCACCCACGTTTCTCCCTCCTCTCTGTGGGCCACCCTTCTTCTTTCCATTGGGTGGGCCATGGAGGCATGGACTTCAGAGGGCTTGGACCCCTGGGTGCTGACGAGGTGGGACCCTCGGGACCCCTGGAGGACTCGGAGCGCTGACCACTAGCCATGTCCCCTGAGCTGCAGCGCTGATGCTATACAGGTGAGTGGGACGTCGGAGGGGTGGGGACACTGCAGGCAGAGTCCTGCAGGGAGTTTAATCTTTTTTCTTCGCTGCAAATTACGTCCATCTGCAAAGGTAGAAATACAAAGATCTTCCCCGGCTCCCTCTGTGAAGAGTTTTTCCTCATGGGTGGGCAGTTTATTTCCAGGTTTCACTCGCTTCTGTCTTATTTCTCTGGCTGGGAGGAAGGGGGTTGGGGGCAGACTCTTCATTTCCAGCGTATTCCTGTTTCTTTCTTAAAAATCCATTTTCATTCAATTGCCCTTGGCAACCCCCCTCCCGGCAACCAACGTCTTTGCCATCTGCCCTGAGCATGTGACATTTTCCCAAGAACGAGCATTTCTGTCCTAAGTCAGAGTCTACTTTTTTTACATTCCCCTCCCACACCGCCCCATTCAAGCCCACATTTTAAGTCTGGTGCTGCTTTGAACAAGTGACAAC